CTTTGCAGGAGCACAAGTGCAGGCAAATAGTTAAGCAAATAGCAAAGGGCAGAGAATCCCAAGAACAGCAGAAGGGTGACGTGAGCAGGCCAGAAGGGTGGCACAAGCTGGCCCCAGACCCAGCGGGATCTGGCCAACCATCCCTCCTTCGCACCCGTGGCACAGCCAACACGGGATGCTCTCGGCCACAGCTCCGAGATGACACGTTGGAGGATATCACCGGGTTCTCAGAGCATCGGCAAGACAAGGGGAAACCTCTGATAATGCTCTAAAACGTGGCTTCAAAATCCTGCCAGCTGACCAGCTCAGGAGACATCCAGTGGAGCTGAAACGCCTGGAGCCAGGGGAGGGAGGGAGGGAGGGAGGGATGGGGACGGGGATGGGCTGCTGAGAGCCACAAGATCTGGAAAGCATCACTTTGATTTAATGGACCTTGATGTTTGGAAATTAAGTCAAGAGAGCTCTTTTATTTGCCACAGGGCTGAGCGTAAGCTGAACGCGAGCAGGATTTAGAGGGGGAAGAGCTTTCCAGATGAGCAGAGTGCAATTTTGTCCTAAGAACCAAAATAATGATAAAAATAACTAGCAGGGGAGAAAGGGAGCGTTGAACGCGGCATACAAATGTCAAACTCCCAGATCCTCTCAGCAGAACTGTAATAAAAGGGTTTAACCTATTATATCGATTAGCGGTATTACACCTCTTGAGTGAGAAGAAACTCATTCTTCCAGGCAGGCTAATTTCATAAATACGCTGCATTCAGAGGCTTCAATAAGCTGATCGGTTTTAATGAAAGGGTTGAGATTTAAATATACGGCTGCGAAGGGATTAGAGAGAGTTGCAACTGGTGATGGCATCTCCGGGGAAGAAGCCACATTGCCATAGTAACCCCCAGGCTGTCACACGCTGGAGGTACCTGCAGAGGTGCGGAGAAGCCCACGGTGCTCCCCGGGGTGTCAGCACCCCAGGGGAGCCGTGGAGGTCTCCGCTTTTTGGATGCCCCGTGCTGTTAAACCCTCACCCGGCACCAGCGATGCGCAGGATGACGATGGTGGCCTCAGGATCCCGGGAGGTGATGTGCCATAGGGGTTGTGCCGGGGAATGGGGGACCTGCGGCATCACAGGAGCATCTGATGGGTTTCCATGGTGGGGTTTAATAGAAGACGCAGGCAGGGTAGGTCTAAGCTAGAGAAGAGGAGGAAGAAAGGAGAAGCACAAGCCGTTTGGTCCAGACTGTGACCTTCAGGGCCAGGCTGGCCAGAGGACAGCGGTTCTTCGGTGCAAGAACACAGGGTCACAGCCCCAGCCTGTCCCCACAGCAGGGGAGACGGGGGGTCCCAGCCCACAGCCCATGGCACCCGCACCGGCTGCTCCCGAGGGGCCCGGCCTGGTGGCACCCATCTGCCCTGCAAGAAAGCCGGGCAGTGAGACACACATGTAGTCCAGAGCTTGAGGGTCAGGTTAAGGTTGGGGAAAACCGGGGGCAGAAGCAACCGGGGGGTAAGGACAGAGCCAGGGAGCTGTAAGGTGTTGCTGTGAGAGCGGGCAGCAGGGTTTATTTAGCAGTGAAGTAAGGTCAGCTGTCCCCCAGACAAGGACGAGGTCCCGAGGGGGGATGCAGGAGCTCTACGGGCACAGGGGAAGGGGAGGAGTGAGAAGGGGGGCGGCAGCCAGCATCTCAGACAGGGAAAGGAAGTCCCCAGGGCAAGGCTGGCAGCTGGTTTATGCCACCAAGTGACAGCCACAAGCTTTCACTCCTAAATGAAATGTCATACCCTGCATGTGTGCAGGGTGCAGCAGCTCCTGAAGAGAGCTGGGAAAGCATTCCTGCTCCTTCCCATCGCAGACCGACAGACATGGGTGAGGCGACACCTTTGCAAAAGGCCTTCTGCCTCCCACCACATCCGTATTCACCGTCCTGAGCTGAGGACGCAGGTTCTCCATGCCTGTAGGGAGCAGTCACATCTCCATCCATCCCTGAAGCAACCATGCTAACGGACTGCCACCCCAGGGCAGGTCCAGCCTTGCCCACGCTGCGACAGTGAACTCCAGCCACGTGCAGGCACGTGCCTGCTGACCTCCGCGTGCTGCCTGCGGGCAGCGCCAGGCTCCGGCACAACCCCAGGAACCACCTCCAGGGGTTTTCTGCTGCTGCCAGTGGTGTTGAAGCCATGTTGGACCCCACTGGTACGGACCATGACCATGCACACCAGGGGACTTCCCCAGACACAGCTTCGCCAATCGACACACAAGTGCTTCATCATAGAACCATCTCAGTTGGAAGGGACCTTTAAGATCATCGAGTCCAACCATTAACCCAACACTGCCAAAAACACCACTAAAACATGTCCCTCAGCACCACATCTACCTGTCTTTTAAATACCTCCAGGGATGGCGATTCCATCACTTCCCTGGGCAGCCTGTTCCAGAGCTTGACAACCCTTTTGGTGAAGAAATTTTTCCTAATATCCAATCTAAACCTCCCCCGGCGCAACTTGAGGCCGTTTCCTCTTGTCCACGCTGGATATGAAACGCTCGGATTGTGGAGAAGACGAACAGCTCTTCCTTCTCAGCACTGGAGCTACCTCCTGGCTGACACCACGTCAGCCATTTAACCACAAGCAGTAAGAGCAGATCCATGAAGGTAGGAACAGTCGCGGCACGTCCGGCAGCAAAGCCTTTGGAGCCCCAGAGGTCCCTTAGGGACAGGCAGGAGGTCCCTTAGGGCACTCCTTCCTGGGGAGCACTTCCCTGCAGGCGAAGCAGAGACAAGGCTGGAGAAGTCACACTTACCCTCAAATGCTTCAAGTACCAGGAAGCAGATTATACATTTTAGCGAGCGTATTGCTCCCCCCCGCACCCCGAGATGGGTCCCGGTGTGCTGCGTACCCAACTGTCCCCGCAGGAGGCACCTGGAGCGCTGTGCCAGGCCAACCGCCCTCCAGCGCACTCCTGTCACTGGTGCCAGCGAAGCCACGAAGCGCCTCCCGAGAGCTCATTACCAACACGCGTTAACTAAGCACGCTTTGCACAACTTATCAGTTAAGCAACGGGAGAGTGATTTGCCACCAGTGGCTAATGGAGCCCCTCTTATTCCCGGGCTATTTAACATTACGCTGAAGGTTCTTGCAGTTAAATCTCTGTTTCTTAAAACAGTCCCAGAGAGAGCATCTGTTGGAGAGACCAGGAAAGGCACACAGAAAAGCCATTTATACATCTGGAAAGGTAAAGATCCAAAAGATCCAACGACACTGAAGATGGATTTCACCTAAAGCGGTATCGGGCAGAGCTATGGATTTCCATTATTCCTGGGAGGAAACCCCCCGCTGCCGTACAACACAAGTGCTCTCCAGCCCCGGGGGAGGACACGTGCTGAGATTTGTCATCAGCAGCGCTGGAAGCAAAGCCACCTCAGCTGCTCTCTGCCCCAGCCTTTGCAAGTGCTCTTTGCCCGTTTGCCCTGTTCCAAAGGTACAAAAGCAGATTTTCAGGTGAGGAAAATCCCAGGCCTTCGAGCAGCCACCGCACAGCGGTATCCTTCCCAACTCCCCCAACCCCAACACGCAGTATAAACACAAAGCGCTTCCCTGCCACTCCTGGCGAAAACGTTTTGCTTCCCTGAGGTCAACGTACAAATGCGATGTCGTGGTTTCTCCACCTGCGTGGCATCCCCAGCCATCCCCTCCGCAAAAGGCTGGATGCATTAGAAGGGGGAAAGCAGTAAGAAGGTCCATCTGCCCAGACTATATTTTTGCCTGGCTTTAAATGTGTCGGTCTCATACACGCACGCGCCATCGACAATGCTTGTCACCTCCCCTAAGGGAAAAAACAAAGATTAAACACAAACTGAAAATACCTGGACCCGTTTACTGCTCGCGACCTTTAACACCTAACAGCAGCTCTATAAGGAAACACTGATGCAGCTGCAAATTAAGGTGCCCAATGAGGGCGCGTTAATTGAGAATAGTTTCCCAGCAGGAACCAGACCACCCTTCCCAGGACGAGGAAATCCTGGGCAGTGAGTGCACAGCTACAAAAAGCCTGTTCCCTTTCACACTGCATCTCGGTGCTCCTTACAGGTCAGTCCCACCCACAGAATGAGCGTGAGCAAGGCAGAAAGGTGTTCTACTCTCAGCGTTTTAGCTGTTCACTGATATGATGCAATATATCAAGGAATTCAGCAATATTCAAAGCACAAAGGTGATCGGTCCTCAGACATATTAATAAATTGTAGGGTTAAGAAACCACCCCATCATTTATTAAAAAAATCAAGACAAAATAGGCTGTAAGTAGTAAGGTTGTCGTAGCTGTCTGGCTAGAAGTAAAGAGGAATCCTAACACACACTCGTCATTGCATTTTCTCCTTGCTGTGCAGACTAGGTCCTTCCTTTAGTTAAAGCAATTGGCTAAATGAACAGGAAAGAAGACACAACCCGGGAAACAGCTGGGTTGCCAGGTGGTGCCTCTGTCACTTAGTTTCTGATCTTCTCCATCAGTAACCTTAAAAGCATTAACGGTGCTTAGGGGATTTCTTTTTACTCTCCCAGCTACACCTGAACACTTCTATTAAGACACTTTGCAGCACTTGAGGTGCTCACCCATAACTCCTAGAATATTACTGCTTTAAGATTTGCAGCATTTGTGAGCGCAGTGCACAACAGGTATCATTTCTATGACAAAAAAAAATATAAAGCCAAGGCTCCCAGCTCCGTCCCTAAACCTGTTGCTTCTCCTATTAATGCAGCTTTGATTTCTCCTTAGTGTGGGGGTTTTGACATGGTGGATCAGGATATGATTACAGTAAGAAACCCGCTGTAGCAACCCTCTGGCAATTTTGCTCAGCTAAGGCTGTAGCTTTACACAACTCGGCTACAGTCGTACCACCAGAGCTCCGCTAGGTTTAAAGAGCGCACGTCACTCACGTAGAAAGAGCCCAAACTGCACCTAAGTTACAGTCAGATTACTTAAACATCACAAAGAATTGACAACAGTAGCCACAGAGGAAAATTAATCAAGATATTTAATACAGTGCAATCCATAGTAGTTTCTTAATTAAAATAATTGTGTGCACGTATCTGAATGGGTTATCAATTATCACAAATAAGCCATAAACATTGTAGTGCTATGTAGAAAAATGTACAACTGAAATTTAAATCTTCCCTATTTCCAAGACAGCGTTTGTCAATTGCAAATCATTATCACCAATTAAAATGGGAATAGTGACTACATCGTTGCGGTGACAAACACAAGGCTGGCCACACATCAGTCGAGGGATATAAATAGAACTTGCAAAGAACTAAAAACCTAAAGCATTCTTGCACCTAAACACAATAAGAAGCCGATGGTGGCTTACGACTTTTCCTGGTTTTAAATGCCTTACAAGACTTCTAGACACACTAAAACTGACTTAAAATTACAGAGTGTTTTTCAGCTTATTTCAATTCAATATGGCCCAAACTTTTGAAGATGAAGATCCAGCAGTGGCAGTAGCACAGTCCAAAAGCTGAAGGTTTGATTTTTGCAAATACCTTTTTACAGAAATTCAACCATATAAACGGCAGGCAATTCCCCCTGCTCCCCTTTCTTTCCTTTGGGCAGACCATGCTATGCAGAAAACAGCAATGCAGTTCCCACTGCTTTGGGTTAAAATTAAAGATAAAGACATTTTGCGTATGCTTTCTCCTCAACACAACACATTTGCACCCAGAATAGGTAATCAAAGTCTTTTTTCAGCCAGTTACTGCTGTGGTTACATGGTTCCTGCCCAAGCTTCCAGCTCTTTCATGTCATCATCCTCTTCTTCCTCTTTCTTCTTGGCTGCAAAAATATTAAAAGAAAACAGGTGAGTGGGAATCTCGACGGAATCCTGTCGCAGTTCTTTGTAGGAGAGAAGCCTCTGTGCACTGACCTAACCAATAGGTGAGGCACCAAATGCCAGCAGAGGAAAACAAATACACAAGACCTTTTTGAACTGAAGTGAAAGGTGCCTTCTGAAAAAGCCAGAATGGGCTAAACTTCCTGATATTACCACTTTAAGCGGAAAAAGCCAATAGCTCCCACGGGAAGAGCGCAAACGTGCATGAAGGGTAAGATGTGTACACCAGCAGTGTGTCCCGTTCCCCTTCATCACCAAACCTCCAAGCAGAAGACCCCGAGTTTTCAGCTTCTTGTCTGCCACGTCCAGTGTAACAGTCTCTCCCCTAAAAAATAAACTCCTTATTCCACCATGAAATCCTCAAAGTGCAACAAATGAGGCTACTGTGTTTTCATCTAGCCAGGTACAGAATTTGGGAGACCCCCAAGTCCTGTGTCAGTTGAAGCTCCTGAAGAGCTCACTAGCCCGGGGGACCTGCTGCTCCCCTCCTCTTCCCACGCTCACTCGCAGCGGGTTGGGTGCAGATGTTAAGCACGAGCTGCCCCCAATAGCATTTTTGGTCCTTCCAGGGGCACAAATGCTGCAAATGCTGCTATTTGTCATAACGTGACAGTTATGTGCAGTTTCTGGGATGAAAACCATTAACTCAGAAAAAAAAAAAAAATCTTTAACCCAGAAATAGACACAATAATTTTGGAAAATACCAAAAAAACCCCATGTCATTTCCTCAGACAGTGTTTTTTTCTCTAAGGGAGGGGGAGGGGGTGTCAAATAATTCATACTCAAAATGGTTTGTGTCATTCCAAATGAAACATTTACGTAAGAGAACTGAGTCAGCTTTCAGTCAAACTCAGGACCTACCAATTTGTACAAGTTTGGAATTTGTTTTCCTAACTTAAGCTCTTCCGGTCTCCGTTAAACAAAACCAGCTTTTGCCTGTATTTCTTCTGACATCAATTTAGCTGACAAGCAGTAGCAAAAAATTTCTCATTCAGACTGATTAAGTCAAAATCCAGACAGCTCCTGAGAACTGGCAAAGTCGGAAAGCTCACGCTCATTTTCCATTTGATGAATAAAAAGGAGGTGATAAGAGTCAGCTCTACCGCAGAAGACACATTAATTATTTCCAAAAAACACATTAAGCATATACCTGCGTTGTTAGGTAAAGTCGTCCCTTTGAAAGTCTGACCCATGACTTTTAATCCCAGTGTATATTAAGTCAATTTTAAGTGAAAAACAATTTAGGTTAAAAAAAACCAAACAAACCAAAACCAAAACAAACAAAAACCCCATAGAAAATTCCCACCCCCCAAGAACCCCCAGGTTGCCCAAACGCTGGCCTTGGAGGCAGTCTTATTTAAGTTGCATGCTATTTAAATACATTCATGGAATTCTAATTTCTATCCGAAAGCAGCTTAACATAAATCCTATAAAACACTGAGGTTTTACACTCATAGCTTTTACTACAACAAACATGCATAATTTGTATTATTTTAGGGAATGCTGTGTCTACATAAGTCTTATGCAGTCTCGTTACTTAAATATGTGCACAATTACAATGCCTCCTACTCACGTGGAGTCACTACCAGCTAATATAATGCAAAAAGTCTATTTAGGTTCAAGTCAGTACGTTTTAAAGTCCATACCCAAAGAATATTTAGAGAACAAACCTCATCAAACCAGTTAGGAAATAAAAAGGTAAGGCATACCTTTATTTAAACTATTCTCCTGCTGTTGGATCTGAATCTAGATAAAGTCTCAGATTCAGGGTATTTTGATATAACTCACTCCCCTCTCAACACTTGTCAGCAATGCTGCCTTGCAAAACAGAACTAGAACACCACAAAATCAATTACATCAGAATAAAAGAACTATAATGCACAGGAGCAAACTTCATTACATGCCACCTAAAGCAGAACCTTGTTGTTTGGCAGCGTCTGCTGCTTCCCAGGTCTTTTGAAGCCCAGGAAGGCAGCAAGATAATTATAGATACACTGACCAATTGGGACTATTTTCATCCTCTAGTTTTTTGGACCTTTTTTCCCCATGCCAGTCAATGAAATAGAGCCGCGAAGTCTACAACTCGTTCATAATACATGAAGGCAGATTCAGCAAAACAGTCTAGTAAAGCTTCATACGCCATTAACGAGTGCCAGAGGTATTCCAACCCAACTATATTTCAAGAGGTATCACTTCTAGTTCATTGAAGAGTGATAAGTTCAGATGTAACAGCAGCTTAGAGCTGTCTGTGTAAACAGGACCGCTTCTTGCCTGTTCTCCGTGTAAAATCATCACACTAACTAAACTTTCCTAGCTAAATGTGCTCTAACACTGGGATGACCCTGAGTTGGGTACCGTCTGGTGTGAGTACGTGCAAAGCTCAGAGGAGGAACAGCTGTCCCCAAAGAGCCGCCCTCTGAGGTTAGTTGCTCCCAAAAGCCAGACAAGCAGGGATCAAATTTAAAAATAAAGCAGCAGCAAGGAAGCATGGTTCAATGTGGTACTGAACCAGACCGGGACTAATTCCCAGAGCTAATTTACTCTCCACTCCCTTTTACAGCCTTGGTGTGTTTGTCAGGATTAGTCCCCTGTTGGGCCAGCACCAACCAGCAGAAGGCTTCTACATTCTCCACATCTCCCCTCTACCCCGAGTGTCATCCATGCTGTAGATAAACTGGTAGCGCTAGAACAGATAATAACTGTTCCTGTGATAGCTATTAATTTTCGTGGTTCGTACAAAAGGCAGGTTACACCTACGGAGAAACGGCAGTAGATGTAATTTGTGATTCATGAAGCAATTTCAAGAAAACGTCTGCGCTGCCCGCAGCTAGATCTCTCAAATTTGAGGAGCTTGCAGCTAAACAAGCATACTTTTTAACAATCCAAGATGTTTCTGGGAAAGGTCCATACATACCTGGCTTTGACGGTATTGATATTGAGGGCACATTTGGTAGTGGTACTGTCTCGGGACCACTTATTTCCAGCAAGTTTTTGTCTAGTTCTTCTTGTTCTAGTTCCTCTAGTTCTGCCATGAGTTCATCCTAAAGGAAAAGGAAAAAAAAAAGAGAGAGAAGAGACTTTAAGTCATATTTATTAGCAAGTAGATTTAGCTGGTCTGTTATTAAAGAAAATAGCTTAAAGATATAGGGTCAGAGCAAACTGAGGAGATGAGGAGTCTGAATCTTCATCTGAATTCCTGTTTGTGATCCTCCTGGAGGAGGGTGGGGAAAGCAGTGAAGAGAAAGAAATCATCTAAGTCCAAACAGATCAGACCATCCAGCTCATTCTCAGCATCAAGTCAGGGTCACAGCTGCTGTACGCAGCTGTGCTGTATGTAGGACCAGCTGGTAACAAGTTCTAGGACAGATTTTACATGCTCGTACTACACTAGACGTGCAACACGCAGATCTTAAAAGAAAGATCTCATATGAGTTAGCATCCCTGGAGGTATTTAAAAGACACGTAGATGTGGTACTTTGGGACACGGTTTAGGTGTGGACTTTGTAACACGTTAACAGCTGGACTTGAGGATCTTGAGGATCTTTTCCAACCCAAAAGATTCTATGATTTTATGATATGAACAGGGGCAAATTTAAAGCATACCTCATCAAATTCTTCCCCAAATCCTACTGGCTTTGAGATGGCTGTTGAAATCTCATCTGCCAACTCTTGCTGTTCTGCAATGTCCTGCATTAATTCATCTACTTTATCAATATCCCTGTAAAAGAAAGGAAAGAGTTCAATATAATCAGGCACTTTCCCAATCAGCACTTAAGACCGTATTTCTTGGTTGCTGCAGAAATGCTACACCATGGTGACATTTTACAAGGTCCTTTTCCAAGATACACTTTGCATGCAAGTCTGAATTTTATCTGAATTTAGTCTCAACAAAATTATGCACATATTTTTTACTTTTCCCTAAAAGCTTAGCTCACAGCAGCTATATACAGAGACTTCATACGAAGAGGTTTTTTTCTGCATTACTAGTATTAATAATAATTTGGTCTGTCCTGATCCAGCATTATTACATCACGTCTATAATATTTGCTTTTGGAGCAAGTACAACGTTCCCATAATGCGGCTTACCTTTAATTATTGCTACATACCCAAACACCACTGCACAGAAAGAAGTTTAAGTCTCCCCTTGAGGCTTAAAATTCTCGCTGCTACAGGGTGGATCTGTAACTGGTGCACCCTCCCATTTGCTTTGGACTACACTGGTGCTTGCCTTCTTTTGGACAAAGGCAGTGGCTGCGTGCCGTGCAAAATGGTGGCGAACTGAGAAAGCATCGATACTTGCGTGTTTCACCCAATATGAAAGTATATCCAGTATTTTAGTTTAGTTGAAGTTATAGCCTTTTAAAAGAAGATTTTGCTACTCTAGTTCTACCTTTGCTTATGAAACACCTAGCATTCAGCAGATCAAACTAACGACAAAGTAAAGGTCCTACGGAAGGATGCAGAAAGGGATAACTTACATGTTGTCATGAGCAGCTTTCATAGCTTTAGCAGCAAAACCCATATTCTTAAGCACTTCAGTGTTCGTGTTGGCATTCTCAAGGGCTTCCCTCTGAAATTCAATTGTTGATAACGTGCCGTCTATCTGTGCAAGCTGCTTCTCGTACCTCTTCTTACGCTTTAGGGCCTGAAGAGCAGCTGAACAACAAAGAAAAGAGAGTTTGTGAGATTTGTGCCTGAAACAGCCATTCACGTTTTGCACCAAATGCCACTCAGCAGAGAGAAGTATTTAGCACCTTCTATTGTTTGCTGTCCACTTTTCTTCCTAGATAAACTAAGTTGCCGAACCCTTGTGTTTTCTGCCTTCAACAAAATTGCTTCAAAGTGGCCAGATGCCTACTGTCCATCCCCTGCCACACGAAGGACGCAAGCCAAGAAGCGACTCCGGGATCAGCAATCCAGTCACTCGTAACACACCCCAAACCAGAGACTACGCTACAACAAAACAGGAGGCTTCAATACGCAAGCTGATCCGCTCAAACCCACCTTTGTTCACCATCACCCCTTGTACATGAAGGCACAGTTGTTGGTGTAGCTCCTGTCAGATGAGGTTACGATGCTCCTGCAGGGTCCCTATCAGCCAGCTGAACGCCTCTGCAGCTGCTGGGAGAAGCAGCTCGTTCAAATATGCTACTACACTGTCCACACAACAGTCTCTACTGATGGACATGAGAAGAGAGATGCCATCGCCTACATTGGTTTGAGCAATGCACTGCTCATAAGCGCTTGTCCAATGCCTGCTCACTGCAAGAGGAGCCCACCCACGACAGCACCAACACGGAGCTCCACACCCACGTGGATCACCCCGTGGAGGAGGACTGGTCCAACTCGCCGCACAGCTAAGGCTCTCCAGCTCCTTCTGCAATGCTCCGCTCCACCTCAGCCAGACATGTACGCACCCAACTGCTGACGAGAGCCAACAGCCAGCTCTTCCCGAGACACCCGGACAGACAACAGAGCGGTATGCTGTCAGTTCCCGAAACACTGACAGCGAATACAAACTAGATTTACATATAATCTTGCCAGTACATGGCTGAAAGTTTTGGCAGGAGCTGCAGTGTGGGCAAAAACCTACCAAGGCCTGAGCGTGCTGGCTGACCAACAAAGGCGAGGTGTCACACGAAGTAAGACATATGGCTAGAGCTTCCCTTCGCGGCCTTTCTGCTCCCCCTCCCGAGACGAACAGATTTATCCACCGTGTAACAGACTTGTCCATATAATACACCCATCTACTTTAAAATCACAGCCTGAACACACACTGCTGTCCCAACAGCCTTACTCTCAGTTTCTGAACTCAGCCACGTGCACACTTCACTTCTTTGATGCTCTCATCGCTGTGAAACTCATAGCAGAACTGTTAACGTGATACAGGATCAGCTCCTCCAGTACAGCTGATACAAGTGTGCCACACACCGAACACGTGCTCTGCTAAAAATCAGCGTCCTGAGCCTCCCAACAGATCAGTCACGAGCACCAGGAATGGTGGCAAATAAAGGTTTTAAATCTTTAAGGTGTTATTTCAAACCTTTACGGACCTGTTCACGATTCCACAGCAGACGGAAGGGTGGGGGGATGTGGGGGACAAGGAGTAGGCAATCCCGACAGCAGACAGCTTCCCTTATCTCCCCTACTAGAGAGACGACAACTTTGTGACACGCTGAGTATGTTCCTGCAACAGGAGCAAAATAGCTCCTCTCCTAAAAGCGGATTAAGCCTGTAGGCACCCTGTGCGTTTGTCAGATGCCAGCTCGAGAAGCTTGACAGTCCTGCAAGATAACGTCCTGGTATCCAGAAACCCTACGTAGACCTTCAGTTCTACAATTGGTTATGAATATGCTGTATTTGATTACTTTCAAATTACACTAATGAATTAGAGAATAAAAAAAGTACTTCAGGAAGATACAGCTAAGGTTGCCAAGCACGCAAAGCAGCACAGGTTGATTTAATAGAAGTGATCAAAAACACAAAAGCACAGGTCACCTCGACTATCCCGAAACAAGCAAAGACCCCAAACGAGCCCCTTCACTGACTTTCAGGCCAACGACCAGTAAATCTCCCCGCTATTTTGGGGCCAGTCCAACGTCCATTCTCGTTTGACAGGAGCGGGAACAGGACTGGGTTTTCATGTAACACAAAGGACAATGTTCACTCTGCAGAATCAAGCACAACACAAATATCATTTGAAACATTCCAGCTTTATGCCAGATCATAAAGTGATGAGCAACACGTTACTGGGATATTTAGTCTGGTTAATTTTGCGCTGATGGTTTAATTAAGGATGTATAAAGTTTTCTTAGAAAGATAAAACTGTTAATAGGCTGTGTTTATATAGCGACAGATGCTGGGAAAGTATTAGACAGTGACAGGACGTTCTTTATTGAAGATTTTGTGCATCGTGGAGAATTATTGGCAAAACCAGAGATTTTATAACCGTTATACAAACCCAAGTAAAGAACTACAATTTATACACAGCTCCCCACTATAGCTTTCTCTGAGAATAGCTAGTTTACCTACTTTTCCTGCTTACGTACTTTTGAAACAAGCTGCTCAGGCACCAAATGTTGCGAGCATCAGTGTAAAAGAGCTTGCCATCAGGAGTCTTATCCGGACTGTTGGGTAACCCTACCCCTCCTGTTCCCACACACACCAGTTCACTGTACCAGAACTGCACTCCCCAGCCTTCGCTCTGTTTTATAAATCCTTTTCTTCATTAATTTCTCACTCGTATACACAAATCAAGGCTCCCACTTTTACAAACACAAAGCACATAATCTGCAGACCTGAGCAGGGATGCCCCCATGAGACCTCGAAGACAGCACGCATCTCCCACCCAGAGTTACTCCTGAACCTCCTCGTGGTCCTGATGGTCGCTCAGCCCAGCACTGACCACGCTCAGCCCTGCTACGCACATCCCTGCCTAGCAACAGGAATAGAAACACGTTCGTTTTAAAACTTGCCATGTTTCAAGTGAAAACTTAAAATGGACTTGTGGTATTTTCTAGAAACGTTTCCAACTCCTTCAGACCAAGAGTGGCCAAGGAAGATACTTATATTTTCCCCTCTCTCCAGTAAGGCCAAGGCAAAGACAAAGCGTCTCCTGGCCACAGTGCCCACCTGTACCTACTTGAAAACCAACTGGGAGAAATTTTTATTTCAGTAGCCTGAAAGGAATTGCTGGGACGGTGTATCAGTCTTTATAAACACAGGGCCACGCGTAAAGCTTCTGTGCCAGCACAGTTCAGCACAAACATTTAGCCCAGGTCGCTGAACATCAAAGTGATACACGAGTTTCTGCAATGAAAAAAATCTTACATAAGAGATTGCAATTCTTTCAGCTAGAAGCACTAAGGAATGTAGAACAAGGTATTCGATGCCTCAAATTACACGACCACAACTTCCTACAATTTGCTTTCATGTGTTTCCTTCTTTAACTATCTTTTAATGTAAAGTCCGTGTTTATAACAAGAAGATTTTATTAAGCTGAAAAAATAAGAAAATACCAATTTCATTTAGGTCACTCGCATTCACTTCATCCTGCAAGTTTTGGCAATCCATTTCCCATATTCCTCCCCCCACAGAAGAGGTTTTGCGCTTTACATTCAGGATTCCCCTTGTTGCAATTAGCGGCACAGCCCTTCGTTGAGGTTATCAGCGTCCCTTCCACAGATGTGCCCGTGTCCAGATGCAGACACCGCTCAGAGAATGCCGTCTGCCCTCTACACAGCTTGGCAGAGACTGCTAGCATCCGCCGCAGACCCTTCTACGCTCCATCAGGCTCCGCTGCGAAAGCACATCACTAAGCCGTCATTTCTCTGCATCTAATTTCATTTCTTTCAAGAGAAATGCTTAAAATATGTTTGTGTGTTTAAGACCATTACAGCCAAGTTGATTTTCCATCTCTCAGGACCCATTTGTCAATTTTCAGATATTTCTGGAGGAGCACATCACGTCAATACCCGCAGCTCAGCGGTCACAAGGAATTTCTAGAGCAAAGGTCCCTTTGGAGGCAAAAATGAGAGGCCGGCTAACCCAGCTGGGCACCAGCGAGGGGGGAGAGCCACAAACTCCTGCTTGAAACGCAGGACCAGCAACAGTCTTTGCTAGCACGAATGATGGGTCTGCAAATTTTCCGCATGTTGCTATCATACTTGACAGAGCAGCGGTACCTGATGGAGGTATAGTTCCGAGGGGGTGATTCTGTTCTGATCTACAGCTACTTTACCTCTACTCGCCTATTTAGGTATCGATTTCTGAAAACTGATGAGCAGTTCTGATAATTTTTTCCTACACAACAGTCTTTACCATCTGCACAAATACCTCTTGAAATCTTAAGTACTGCCAAGAGTAATACATTTTTATTAAGTTTTCATTGAAGTCGAAGCTACGAATACTTAATCTGTAGGGAACAATATTGGCTCTTTTTCTCAAATAAATAAATAAATAAATAAATCCGTTTCCATAATTTGAAATAAGTATGAAAAAGAGACAGTAAGCCAGAAATATGTCCTCTAGCATCACGTTATTTTACACACATGCAAGAAACGGATGTGCGTTTGAAGTCAAAAGTGTATCACAGCCCATCTTTGCTCTTCATGAAGACTGCTATCACATCAGGCAGCTGTGGAAGAGGCAGTGCTCAGGACCCACACCCTTAATTACGCCTTTACTGCTTCCAAGAGAGTAATTACACAGGCAGGCAATGCAAATTAATACCCTGTTTTAATTGCTGTGGAACTGCTTTGGCAGGACCTGTAACCATATATCCATTTTAAAGCATTTCTGTAGCCAGAGTTCACTGACAACCCAGAACCTGTTGCTAGAGAGATCACCAGCACATTTTTTTTAGAAACTACTGATTTAAATATTCCAACAGTGCGACAATTTCCTCCTCTTAGACTAAATAGCTATAGAAGATTACGAGATCACTGGACCAGACTCTCACAGCAGCTTCTGCAAAATGCCGGATATTCAGAGGCTCGAAACAAAGAAGGGCTGATACCTGCTCTCACCATGTTGTGGCTGTGTATTTCTTACGGAAATATCTGCCTTTATACAGAATAAAGCACAGAAGGATACCGACTACCATCTCTACGTGTTACTAATTACCGGAGCAGAGGTGGCAATGCCGGTGCGCTGCAGGCGGTGAGTCCGGAGCAAGGCGCAGCTCTCGCAGGAGCACTCGGCGTGCCGTTACTCCTGCACGGAGCTGAAGGAAACCGCTGGGTACAAAAACCTGCCCAGCTCCCAGGCACGGGACTTGCAAGGAAGGATGCTGGAACGGGCACAGACAAACGACAGGCGGTGTCCCTGATCGGCACTCACTGTCCCGTGAGCAGCCTTCCCTCCGTGAGAAGTGACTTTCCATTGAAGTCGCTCAATAACACCGTTAAGTTTCTCCTCCCAGAGCATCCTGCCTTTGCGCGAGGGTTAACTGACTCTTGAAATATCCCTAGTACATATAAAAACAGTAGCAGCAGTTCAAATCACTGGCTAGTTTAG